TTTCAATAATTATATTAATCTTTTATAATAAAAGTAAATTAAGCACAATAGACCTTTAAAATCCATAAAATATTGTTCTCAACTATTTTAATCTTTGAAGTCACATAAATTGTATCAAATTTAATTCTTTTGACTTATACTGTTAGCCTTTAATAAAGTGAATAATGACTATAAAATAATTAACATAAGTTCATAAAACAAGTTTTTATTTAATTCGATAATGCTTCCCCTATTTTCTTCTTAATATACTCTCATATGAAACATTAATTTTGAGTGTTAAAAAAAACATTCAACATTTTTTATCTTAATCTCCTGCAAACTCGAAATTGATTATTTCTACTGTTTTTTTCAGCATTGTTTCTCTATCGAAATATATGGAAAAAAAACGGAGGACAAAGCAGTTGCACTAAGCTAACAATGATAATAATAATAAAGTCACTTATAAGTGGTGCGATTTACATTATAAAATTGATCCTAAGGATTAGATAAACATTATCTTCCCTAAACACTGCGAAATTCGATAGCAATCCCTTATCAAGGTTTAGAATAATCATTTATTCCATCAATAGCACAGTAACATAATTTTGTAGAATATACCGTTACATACTACCAGTTGGTACTTTACATAAAAACATTTTCGTTAACGATACTAGAAGTTGACACCAGACACGAACGAATGTCCTCGTGACAATGTCAACTGTGCTAAATATTTTAAAAAAACAAAAATTAGAATGCGACATGATAACACAACCGTACCTTCACTTTGACGCGAACGGCCTCTCTAGGACAGCCGAACATGTTTGATGTTGATATGCGGGCTTTTTCATGCAGTGGAAGAGGTCGCTCGATAATTCAGGACAACTCCGGCTCCTTAAAAAATATCCGCGCCTCCTCGAGGATATTCTCATCCGATTGAACAGGACTCGACATTCTTGCGTTCAGCACTATTTTTTTCTAGGTTAATTCGTTTCACGCGACGCAAGCAAATCCAGCTTTTAAATCTTCGTCCTTTATCAAAAGAAGCATCCTCTCTCTGATCCGTCAGGACACTGCTGTGTTTCTCAAAGGATCAACGTTTTTTAATTACACACCAGTTGACACTACAATGCGATCTTAACACGGCGACGAAGACGAACGATTTTTTTTAACGACTGTTGACGTTGATAGGTCTCAAGATGTTACTGGAGGATCGTTTCGCGCCTTCCTTGAACTTTCACGCACGGACCGACTTCACCGTGACATCGTTGACACCTCAAAAACCACGTTCGATCCTCGGGACCGTGCGTCCCTTTCCTTTTTGCGGAAACTACTGTATCGAAAAAAACAGACGTGAGAGTTTCAAAACATGACAGACGGAACAAAGGCAGACACAATCGCTCGGAAAAATCAGCGTCACGTTTTCGCGCGAGCGAATAAAGAAAGAGCGAGAATAAGAGGAGCGAGTGCTCTGAAGTGAGCTGCGGCAGGCGCCGCTTACCTCGTTGCCGCGTGTATCGATTTATCTTGAACGTTGCTCTACAATATAGATGCTCGATTATTCCGTGTTCGATATAATTTTATCGAAGTCTCCGTCCCAAGTATTTGTGAATAATATATGAAACGGTTTGATATTGTTTTATTGTGATTGGTATATTTAATTAATAGGAATAAATGAAATATTTCATGAATGTTAATGGAAACCTGCCTTGTAATTGAGTTATAAATAAAACATAATAGCTGAACGTTTTTAAACTGACAAATTCTGTTTATTATCTGTACCGCTTTCAAATAAACGTGGATAAAATCAAGATTTGAATGAAACAATCAATCTGTTATTGGTCTCGTGCTTAATAGTTTTATTATAATATTTTAGTGAACTATATTTTCCTAGTTTTCTAATAAAATACATTTGTTTAGTTCGTTCGCTTATTTTGATTTGTAGTTTGTGCAATCATTTATTAATTCATGAAACCAAAAATGTTGAATTTTTATTTATATTATTACTTCAAGTTACCTATTGTCTCCAATTAAAATCATAAGGACGTCTTTTATGGTATAAAAATTACATTTTCAAATTGAACGCAGCATATAACTATGTAAGTAAATGAGTCAGTATATTTATAATATATATTTATTATATAGTAGAATATGTACATCAGTATTTATATTGTAGCCTTATGTAGTTCACAAGTTAACCATTTTTTTAGTTAGAATTCGCTAGTGTACAGGAGTATTTTTGTAGGTGTCGGTACTTTAGAATGGTAGGGTTATCGACCAAAGATAGGATAAACTACATAACCAATGCACCGACAAGAGATAAGATAGACTGGACATCTAATCACCAACACAGACTTAAATAAATAAATAAGTACTTAATGTATTTTAAGATGTGTCTCATGCCATTTATGACTAATATTAAGATGTTTATCAAAATATTAAACATAATTCAACGATGTAATGAACATCGACAAAAATTGATTAGTTCGCTGTTCGTCAATACGGTTACACGTAACCAGTCAAAACTATAAATAAAACACATAGCGAGAAACGCTTTTTGCCCCTATCCTGTTTCCGAGGTTTTTTTCCCGAGTACAACATGGAGTACATGAGCAGCTCTATGTAATGTTCAATACAAATATGTGAAGGTAGATATAGAGAGGGTAACTGTCGCTTACCAGGCCGTTAGGGGACCTTAGATGACTTGTGAGCTTCCAGTTCAATACCCCTGCTGATAGATTGACGTTGCGGTAGTTCTTTATACAAAAAAAGAATTAATAAGAAATATTAAACATAGTCGTTATGGTACCACAAGAAAGATGAGCAATTTTTCAGTGAAAAATGTAGTCTTCTTAATGTCCAACTTTCAGTACTCGTACCAATTATAATTTTTGTTAAATTGTATTAATGTTGTCATTTTTTTATGTTAATGAACATTTAGAAATAGATACAAATTTTGATTTCTACTAAATAAAAAGTTAGTAATATTTTACTAAATTCTCCGATCCAGACCACTGTGCGCCGGCAGAGCGAGCTCATATCTACGTGATGCTGGCTGTAGTTAATCAGAGACACAGTATGACAACATCATCAACACGATGATGATTTTTAGAGGACAGAGTCAAGTGTTTTTTTCTATCCTTGTAATGAGTAAAACAAGGGTAAAAATAGAAAATTTGGTACCACTAAGTTTTAGAACAACTTCATAAATCTTTGATTCTTATACGCGAAGCATGATAAGAAAGAGGTATTCGACAAGGACAGATATATGTTTTAGTGGCAGTAAGAGAAAGACACACAATACTTTCCATACAGATCTGTACAACGCATATAAAATTGATTAATAACTTCTCAACCGCTAACAATTCATTAATATTTGTTACTAAAGAATGTAAAACAAACCTTTAATACTTTTCCATATCAGTTTTAGTAAGATTTTGTTTCGCATTCATTATTTATTAGAGTTTTCGAAGCATTGTTCCAAGGTAATTATGTAAAAACCTTTGGACAGGCATTCAGTATATCATTGACTTTCAAATTTTATAGAAATAATTGCTGAATCTTTGTACTTGAACAAACTTAGGTGGATTTTTAGAAATATTACAGTACTAAGGTTTATTACATTTGAAGTAGAACTAATGAGTTATCAACGATTTTTATTTGTAGTAATTAGTTTTCTAGCTTGTAATGTATTTACAGTAATGTAAAGAGTAATGTTGCGCTTGATATTACTGATAATACAAGATTTTAGACTTATTAATAGAGATCGAATTACAGTGTAGCTATAATTCATTTCTACTACGAGCGTTTTACAAACTGTGACAACGACAAATCCATGCAGCGGGAATATTTGAACGGTGGGAGTAGCATTTTATACATGGATTTATTCTGTAAATCATCATACAATGTAATAATTTATATATTTATACGCGCAATTATTTGTATTAATTATGTATTTTTATAAATTACTAAAAAGATTATATTTCAATAATCTTTTGTTATTTTATTTATTTAAGATTTTAATTAATATCCCAGTATTCTACAAGATTATTCTTACGTGATTAATATTTTAGAAAATTTGATTAATAGTAGTTGAATTTCATATATTACATACTCATTTAAATTGCAATATTTTTAGTTAAATGATGCAACATCGAAATATTTCATCTTAAATACAATATTAAATTAAAATACTGTTTTTTTTTATTAGTTATAAAGACTTTTTTAATTTCACATTATAATTTAAAATAAATATTGAATCCTTACTGAAACTGTAAATAATTTCATTATACATAATATAATATGATTAAGGAAAATTTGTTTTTTCAAATAATATATTTTTATATCTGGTAAGACCTAAAAGAATTTAAACATTTTTTTTCATAAAGTTTCCAAGCTCACATTTTTCATGTGTAGTCTTATATAGTTCAGTAATTGACCGTTCGATTCAGAGTTCGCTAATGCATCGAGACATTTTTTATGGTGTCAGTATTTCAGAACAGTAGATAGAAAAATACATTGTATGCACAGTTTGTACTATATCTAAGGTCTGTCAAATACCTAGCACAGATTTTATCTATGCCATGAATGAACTCAAATTAGATGAAATATAATTTTCAACTTCACCGTTTTGTTAATATTAACATCGTTTCTCTCGAAATCTCATAAGAAAATGGTTTATCCTCGACTACAAGTCAGCTGAATATGTATGCACATGTCAGTTATTTATGCCACGTACCATAAAGTGCTACGAAGTGAGCTATGAGTTCCTAAGGTTCTCAATCAATCGGTTAAATCAGTCAAGCTATTCTTAAAGCTCAGAACCCCTGGTGTGTCGTAAACAACGAAGATGGCTTATGGTCGACATTCTGTTTCTGTTGGTTTCATTGATGTGACGAATAAATACTTACCTGTTTGAACGAAATGTTTGACTTTGTTCAATGAAGAAGTAAACTGTATTTAAAACTATGGCTCAAGCGAAACTTAACTCGCAAGACATAGCAGATAACACGCTCAAGGATAAAGAAAAAGAAAATGACGAAAAGGAAGGTACATGTCTGTATCCTTCATTTTAAAAATGTGTTACAACTTATATGTAAAATTTTATTGATTGACCCTAGTAATACGTAATAATTTGATATCAATTACTGCAGTGATAATCTGGTAGAAACATATTAATCGATTGAAGTTAATTTTAGTTTGATTACAAAATTTTTGTAAATTTGTATTTACATATACATTATTAAAGGAGGTTGCTAATATCTTCAATGATGTGAATAATGTCTATCATAATTGTAATAACATTTTCGTATCTTTTTTCATAGGTTCAACAGTTATACCAGAATGTGCAGTCTGCCTTCAACCATGCATTTATCCAGCAAGATTACCTTGTAATCATGTGTATTGTTATCTATGTGTCAAAGGTGTTGCAAATCAAAGCAAAAGATGCCCTATGTGTCGTCAAGAAATTCCTCCTGATTTCCTTGACAGACCACAATTAGTAGAAATAGAGGAAGCGCATAAGGAATTAGATCATACCGAAGAAGAATATCAGTGGTTTTATGAAGGCAGGAACGGTAAAGTATCATTTCTTATAATAATCAATTTCATACATGAGCTATAGAAAATTAAAAAAGAATTGAAACATGTTATAAATACATATTTGTATTACATAAAAAATAAATTATATATATAATTGACTTTCTAAATACTTAAGGTAAAATATAGGGAACTTCATTATTTGTTAAAAACATGTGATGAAGTATGGATAGTTTTTAATGTACCCCTTCATAGGTTGGTGGAAATATGATTTGAGGACCAGCGAGGATTTGGAAACTATATACAACCTTGGTAGAACAAAATGTGAAATTTTAATTTGCGGCATACTTTATATTGTTGACTTTGAAAATAAATGTCAATATAGAAAACATCAACCACGCTATAAACGTAACATCAAGCGTGATAAAAGGGATGCACCTTGCAAAGGTGTTTCAGGAATATTGGGTGGGGGGCGGGGTCGGCGGCGTCGCCGGTCGAGAAGTCCGGGACCGCCGGCTCGCCCATTTTAAGATTCTTGCCGCCGGGCCCGGGGTTCCGGAACTAGTACTAGCGTGTCGTGTTGGCATATACTGGGCCGGGGGGTGTCGCTGAGGGTAAATGTTTGGTTCCGGTGCACCCCCCCTTATGGCCGAGGATGGAACACCCCTGGAGCTTTAGTGAGTAAAAATCTCACACTACCCCTTGCCAGCCCCACTGGTGAGGGGTGCCTGGTGCAGGTTATCCAGGGTTAAAAAAAAAAGTGTTTCAGGAATAAAATAACTTGTATCTATGTTTTATGTGGTTCAAACACAATTGGCATTCTTATTTATGTATATAATTCCTATAGAAATTTATAAAATCGTGTATATTTTTACACGTTAGCTTCCATGTAAAATCTTAATATAAAATTATAAATTATGGCACCAAGCTTTATGTAAGATCTTGAAATAAAGTTGTAAGAATTTCTATTACTATATTATAAAAATTAATATTTAATTTTATTGTATTTTTGTAATAAAACGTCTTTATTGCGCAACATTAGTTATTTTTCTTTGTAAATTCCCAAATTAAAACATTATTTACTATTGATATTTATTGTATTTGTGATATTTCGAAAATTGTAGTGTGTATGATTTTAAATTATACTGTTTCAGGTTGGTGGCAATATGATCAACGTACAAGCCATGAATTAGAAACTGCGTATAAACAAGGCAAACGGAATTGTGAACTATTAATTGCAGGATTTCTTTATATCGCTGATTTTGGGTCCATGCTTCAGTTGCGTAGGAATGATCCTTCTAGGCGAAGAAAAATTAAACGTGATTTGTATAATGTTCCGAAAAAGGGAGTTGCAGGTTTAAGATTAAATAATCAGGATGAAGAAATTATTAGAGAAATAAGAGGTGCAGAGAGACCTGCAAGTCCTGCAAGTGATAATATGGGTATAATTACAAAATTTCAAAATTGTTTATAAAAATTTTAAATTTGTTAAATATGATAATTTTGTACTTATAGGTACTGGGGATGGTACAAATACTCCCATACCACCTAGTAATACACCGCAAACACCAGCAGGTGGTACTGCAAGTGGTGATGCTACACCTTTAAACGATAGAATGGAGCAGAGGTCAGAATCTTTACATCGGGTATTAGAACAAATGCGTTCCTTAGTTCTAGGAGAACATTTATCTTCAAGTACAGATAACGAATTAGAAGAAGCTGAAGAAAGTGAATCACTTTCTACTCATCCTACATTATAATAACTGTGAACATCTAACAATTCCTATTCATCAAATGTAAATTACTTTTACATGAATTAATTTTAGCAAAATGAATGTGCATCTCATTATATGAAAAATATAATATAAAAAATTCGTGTGTTTGTTTAATAATATAGAATGTTCATATGTGATGTATTAATATACAAATCTGTGCATTAATTATTCTGTGATGCTTATTAAAAACAAAACAATGAAGTACAATTAAATGTTTACTAAATAATTGTTTTAAGCATATTGCTTGATATTTACGAATATGCAGTTAGTATATTTGTAATTTTATATTTTCAGTGTCTTTAAAGAATATTCATTAAATGATAATATCATTCCATTCTTCTACACCTTAGCAATAATTTTTGTAATTATAGGTTTTATTATACAGCTTTCAATTACAAACAGTTGAAAATAATTAGAAATTCTTTAGTAAATTGCAATAATATAATTTATTTAAGCACTAAATTTCTACTAGTATGCTGAAAAATAGTTAACATCCTGCATATTTATCTACTTATTTGTTTACTGAAAAATTAATATTCATAAGAAGGTTGTATTTGTTTCCCTAGTTTGGTAGAAATTTAACATTTCTATTATTGTATCAATAACACATCTATTAATACATTTTATATTAATTTTATTTTATTTATTAGTTTATTAAAGTAATGAATAATGTATTATATGCCTTCATTTTTATTTTTTACAAATACATACAAATACAATATTATGCAGCATCTACAAATTGAAGTTGATATACATTGTGAATATTTTACATTTTTGTTTAACAATAAAATATCATATAAGTAAATTCAGTTAGAATAAACCGAAAAAATGAACCATTGAATGGTAATGATTAGAATAATGTTTTCTTAGATATTTAAAGTACAAATGGTCTGATCATTTTAAAAAGCATAAGAATTAAAAACAAAATTACATGGTTTTATATGTTTATATTATTTCTGTGTTATGACTGACTTATTTTCTTTGTCCAGGACAGCATACTTTACAGACTTCATGTTTTATTTCAGAATGAAGCATATAAAAATAAAATTAAAAAGATTTGCCAAGAATTTTGTTTCAACAGTTTTAAAGTTGTTATAAGTACATTATAAAGAAAAATTCATTTTATGAAATGAGATTATAATATTACATATATTACATAAATAAAATATTCTAATGTTTCAAATGATTATGTAAGCATCAAAGAAATTTAATTCTTGACAGAAGATATAATACAAACGAATATACCATGCGCTTTTTCTTTAATATTTTAATATGTATTATAATAAATTAAAAAAATGAAAATAATATACTTTTATAAAATATTGTTCCATTTTCTTCTTTTTATGTATATTATATTGTCCTTGAAAATACAGTATTAAAAAACATTGCCATACAGAAATTTTCAATTATAATTACTTTCTCAGTCCAATTTATATATTATATAACTTTATATGGGTTATTCGATTAGATATAGTAGATAGCTCAGGCATTTCTGTATGTTAAAATATAACGAATATTAAGAATTACGAAATTGCATTAGAAGCTTAATTTTTACACTTGGGTAATTATTAATAATTATAAATCCACTAACAGCGTCCAGTAAATCAGATTTTTATCCTTATTTTTCACTTTATATCACTGTTTATAAATACTCCTATTGACCTGTCTTACGAACGTTATTACTAGCAATTATAATTCAGAGAGACTAAAGCTTTTAATATAATTTCAATATTCTTAATTTTCGTATTACTGCGATGTATAGAATTACCTTTCAATATATCTATCATCTGCTACATGTATTATGTATTTATGGCACATGAGAACTATATATTTTATAGACATTCAGTACGATATGCTCTATTATCATTTATTGTATACGTTCGTAAAATATATTTTTAAAGATATTAGTACCAGCAAAAAGTATTAAAATCCATGTGTACTATTGTTTTCATACACAAAAGGAAGTGCACATAATTTATGTAAATTCAATTTACGCGCCATCCAAATATGTCAAAACTATGGTCAAAGAAACTTCCATGTGGGTGATAAAAAGCCGGTCAACCGCCAGATTCTGAAGGTATTTACAAAAGTGAAATCTTGTAGAAAGAACATTGTAATTCCATAACTGTTAATGAAGTGAATTAGAAGAGATGCGTCTAATATCTTACTCATAAGGTTTGTATTACTTATAGTTGCAGCGTTGACATACATTTTTTTTACGCAATATCATATAAAGAATATCAGTTTACGTACGTATGCTTTTGATTAGAAATATATAGATTACACGTGTGTTTTGTGTTATAAAAGAAGAAGGTTAAAATTTACAAGAAAGATTCTGTAAAAATTATTATTACGAATATATTAACCTACGCTACAATGATCCTATAATTTCGGATAACAAAGCGTGAAATTGTTACAGATTGTCGTAATAGATTACGGTAAAAAACAAAAGAATGCGTTTATAAAAGTAATTATTAAAATCGAATAAACAAAAAACAATGTCATTGACAAAGCATATTTCAAGATAGAACAGCCGACATACTTTGACTTTCCAATAGTATTACTCGATAATTCTCGGCTAGAGTGGCCCAGTTTCCATTAACGGTTAGGGTTGAATAAAAATACTTTTACAATGTCTGACAAACTTTGATGTTTTAGATTGTGAACAGATTGGTCTGTGTGATTAACGAAGACTGGTGCTTCACATAAGAGGAGATAAAAGTATAAAACATCATGAACATACAACAAAGCACAGAATTGATTATTTTTGTGACTCATGTTGAAGCAGAGGATTCACTTCTTAAAATTTGGGGTCAGGTTGACAAAAATTCTGCGACATGCGTAGAACGCATGATTTTACCCCTGGTTGAGCAATTTGCTCGAAGTCAGGGTTCTGTTGGGTCAAGAACTGCCAATTTACGCGTGAATGCTCTTTGCTGTGCTAGATTTCAAAATGAAGGATATTATAGAGCAAAAGTAATTAACATACGCCCAGATGGTATGATAGTTTTACAATTCATTGATTATGGTAATATTGAGGTATTACCACCTCAAGAAATTCATTTACTTGAAAACATACCTGGTTCCGAGTCTTTGCAATCTTTTCCACCTGTAGCATTTGATTTCACATTAATGCATATATTACCAATAAACGGGATTTGGGAAAACAAAATAATTGAATTAATTAAAAAAACTTTATGGTACAATGAATATAAAATCTTGATCCACACTGTAATTAATAATCGTCGCTTTATTAAACTTTGGTATAATAATGAAGATTTCAGTGAATTATTAATCAAGAGACATATGGCAGTAGGTGCTACATTACAAGAGATGTTTAGGTAGGTATTTTAGTGTTAGGAGATTTTATTTACACTTTTATTGTTATTTTCATTTTTATATATGTTTGTTGAGCAGTAAGTGTTAGCCTAATTCTTTTTATAATTTGATTTAGAAGTTTATACTATTTCAATACTGTTGCGAAACCTCTCTTTTTGGATTAAAAGTTATTGTAAATAATAATTTAATTATTTTTTTAATTTATAAGTTTAATAATAATGATTTTCCATTTCTATTTTGATAGATAAGTTTAAAAAGAATAGTAGAGTATTAGAAGTTATAATGTGCTTATAATTTTAATATAATATTTGATTATTTTTATGTATACTTTCATAGGCCACCAAAATGTATGCGAGAACCTGAAGTACCGATATACCAGCAATCAAGCAAACACCTTATAAGTAATAATTTAACGTCAGTGGCTCCTATGCAGAATGTAAATCCATTGCATTGTGATGGAAGTGATATACATGGATATCAACGAAGTGTTCCTTTATGTTGTGCAGCGCAACAAAAACACATGATGCACTCGCCTGTACAAGAAGCACTTGTATTTAAATCACGTGTTCTAGATGTACCATCCAAACATGAAGTATATGTGTCTTTTGTTGAAGACGGCCCACATAAATTCTCTGTGCAACTTCAAAGTACATCTCAAATATTAAGTTTGCTCATGAGGGATATTAATAATCATCCTATAGAACCATTGCAAGAACCTCCTTTGCCTGGGTCAGTGTGTTTAGGTCGTTACACGCAAGATAAAGTATTGTGCAGAGCTGTTGTAATGTCCGTAATGGAAAATAAGTGTAAACTATATTATGTTGATTTTGGTCATACAGAGGTATTACCATACACGGATATCTTCCAACTACCATCTCATTTTATTAATCCCAAAGTACTTTCAATTCGATTTACTCTAAGTGGTGTACATGAATTAAATGTCAGAGATGAAATGAAAGAATATTTTAAACAAATTGTATCAGGAAAACTGCTTGTTTTACATGTTTGTCCACCAGAAGGACCACCATTGGTTCAATATGGAGATTTATATGATGATGGGAAAAACATAAAGAATATTCTGAGACAAGCATTTCCAACACCAACTGCAGCTCCTATATCTTTTGGATATCAAGAACCAGCAAAATTGTCGAAAGGTGCTGAAGAAGTTGTACATGTTTCATTTGTGGAAACTTGCAGAAAATTTTTTGTACAGCTAAATAGCAACACAGGATCTTTGGAATCAATAATGAATTGTCTAGCAGACTTTTGTCAAACTGCGCCTACTTTGAGTTTAACACAATTGAAGATTGGTCTTCCTTGTGCCGCTTTGTATGATAATCAATGGTTAGTTGAAAATTCTGATAAGTATTAATGATACGAATCCTTATGCAATTCTTAATTTTTTTAAATATATTTTCATAGGTCAATATAAAATAGAAGCTTATTTTCTTTCTAAAAATTCAATCTTTTCGAAATAGTGTAAGAATTTTGTAAAATTTTATTGTAATACTTATTTGGTCACATTCTGCTAAGAATGTATGAACATTTATTGATGATATTAAAATGATGCACAGTATAATATTAAGTAATATGGTAGGTATACTACATTATATATTTATTAATGTTATTTAATTATTAGGTACAGAGCACAAATTCTTGGCATAAATGCAAATAACGTGAAGGTGTTATATGTTGACTATGGTAATGAGGAAACTATCCCTGTAATATCTCTTCGTTTAATACATGATGATTTAATAAAACAATTGGAAGCTCAAGCTATAAAATGCATTTTAAATGGATGGGAACTCCTTCCGTGCACTCAAGAAGTGTTTAATCAGTTTGAATTACTTACCTTGGAAAAACAATTACTTTTAAGAGTAATGGATGTAAAGTCAGATGGTTTAATAGTAGATTTATATGAACTTGAGAGAATGGAAAGCATTAAGTCAAAAATGTTGCGTATATTTGTAGATGATAGGAAATCAACAAATGAACCAAACTATCAAAATATGGAGAAACAACATACTGTTAAAATAAATCCAAACATTAATCAAAGGTATTTTGAGATATATTTTATTACGCATGATGGTTTCATTGTAGACATAAATATCCCAATTTTTATTAACATGATAATTATAATAATTATTTAGGTAAAATAGTATTCTTTATGGTATCACAGGTTTTATACAACCAATAAAATAAATATAAAATCAATATGAGAAAGTAGATAATAGAAAATTTTAAAGTTTTCGAATTTTATTTATTTAAGAATTATTAGTACTTGTTTAATTATTTTACATCTTATTCATATTATAATTCATATTATTACAAATTTACTTGAGTTCAACAGTTTTTTTTATACATTTCTGTATCGATAATATAAAGGTACCATATGTAAGTCTTTAACACTGCAGTTAACAAAATGACCTTCATATATTAATTCTTTCTCATTCATCTGCAAAATATGAATATTATTTTCATATTTGGAAAATATACAAAGTATCTCATTCGTACATATTTATTAATTAGAATTTCATAGACTTATATATTGTAGATTTACACACGTTTTCTGCATGTTAAATCGATATAAAAGCTATTATTTTTAATATAAATTAGCTTATACATTTCAGTGAGAATATAAATAATTGGCAGAAAAACAGTCAAATAGACACATGGAATGATCCACAGAATACTTCCACAGTTCAGGAAAGGCACAAATCTAAATCTTGGAAAGATGAATCCAACGAAGAAAAAATATATGAAAATAGAAATGAAAGGAGTAATTTTCATCGCAACGATTCTAGAAATGAAAGGTTTAATAAAGACGACTTTTCTAATGCCAGAAATGAACGATTTAGTAAAGATGATCATTCTAATGTCAGAAATGAACGCTTTAGTAAAGATGATCATTGTAATGTGAGAAATGAAAGGTTTAGTAAAGATGATCATTCTAATGCCAGAAATGATAGGTTTGGTAAAGACGATTTTTCTAATGCGAAAAATGAAAGGTTTAGTAAGGATGACTTCTCTAATGGTAGAAATGTAAAGGATAAATGGAATAACAGAAACGAATACAATGATTCGCTTAAGGGTAGCAGAGCTGGTAGAGGTGGTAGAGGTGGTAGAAATAAAACTTCAGGATATGGATCAAAAAGTCATTCTTCCGATAAAAGTTGGAGTGATAAAGACTCAGATACATCGTCTAAAGGGAGTAGTAGACGTGGACGAGGTAACACAACGCGTGGTAATTATTCTAAACGTGATGGATTTTCTGGAAGAACGCAAAGTAACAGATTTAATGATAGAGACAGTGACAGCAGCGTAAAATCTGGAAAGACAAGCAGTTAGTATTAATGTATTATCAGAATAGAGTTTATGTGAATTTTTAATGTAAATATACATTTTAATTTGTTCGTATTTATTAGATATATTATAAAAACATAAAAATTGTTAATAGGTGACTCATATTACGGGAATAATAAATTTAAAGATCGAAAGGGACAAGGATATAGACTAACACAGAGCAAGGTAAAGTATGTCAATAATAATGGCCATTTATTTTTATGAGTAACATTAGTAAAATACAAAAGTTTTACAATAATTTATTAAATCATACTTACTACGTACAGTTTTATTACTTTTTATTATATATATATATAATCTATTAATAATTTTGTTAAAGTTGTGTTTATAATTATTTAATTTTTTATAGATAAATATTATAAACTTGAATCACATGGAAGAAGGACGAAGATGTAGTCCTATGCGAAGTAAAAGTGATTTTCATATTCCGGTTCCTAATATAGTTATTGGATCTACAAAGAATTGCGAAGTAGTTTATACGAATAGTCCACTTGATTTTTTTGTTCAGTTAAGTCCTGATTACACTGCGTTAGATTCTGTAATGGAAAGCATTGCATCAATATATGAAAATGGTGGAGAATTAGTAAGAGAATCTAAGGTTTTTAAGGGCTTGTACTGTATTGCTCAATATTCCGAAGATTCGAGATGGTACAGAGCTATTGTTAAATCTGTTGAAGGAAACAATGCAACTGTTCAATTTGTAGATTATGGAAATACAGAAACAGTCGATTTTAATAGACTCAAAGTCATTCAAAAGGAGTTCTTAAAACTTCCAACACAAGCCATACATTGTAGACTATTTGGTATGAAAAACCTTACTTCGACTGAAGACGAAATAAAAAGCTTTGAAAATAAAGTAAATGGCAAAGTGTTGGAAGTTGAATTTGTTACTGAAGAGAATGGTATATATAGCGTATTAATACGAGAAGTAATCGATGATTGTCAAACTGATACTTTCATAAATGAAGAATTTTGTCAAGGCATCAATTTACTACAAGCGAAGGAAGCTGCGGTATCTCGTAGTAAAATAAGTACAATTAAAAAACAAATTGCTGATCCTGATTATGCACCTTTGAATGCTGTATGGTCAACAATCTCACATACACCTGGCACTAAAAAGGATGTGATTGTTACCTGGTTTACAAATTCGAATAATTTTTATTGCCAAACGCTTGACAATGAAAATGAATTTAAGACCATGATGAATAAAATTCAAAAGATATATACTGGCAGAGAACCTGTATCATCTACATTAAAAGTACTTTTTATTGATTATGATTTTTTTTATAATTCACATAAACTGTAATCAAAATATTTTTATTATCATTATTTTTAGGTTGGATCACCTGTGATAGCAACATTTTTCGAAGATAAAGCTCTCTATCGCGCAGAAATCGTAGAATTGAATAAGCTCAATGGTCATCTTATTCATTATATAGATTTTGGAAATAGCGCTGTAGTCGATTTTCAAAATATTTATCCTGTAGAAAAGGAATTTATGTATCTACCTAAGCAAGCATTTCAGTGTTCCCTATTAAATATTATCCCGAAAGATGGTCTTAATTGGTCTAACATAGATACTGAAACAATTGATAATTATTTTAATGATGATAAATATACATGCACTTTCCATTGCATGAAAGATAATAAATATTTTATTTCGTTAAATAATAATGGAAATGATGTGGGTAGTATGTTGGTTGAAAACAATCTGGCTTCATTTTCTTCAGAAACTAAATCAAACGACATTACTGATGGTAAAAATGATTTTATATTTGATTTCTACAAAAATATATAATTTCTGAAAATATTCTTTCTTATGACTGAATATGAAACAATATATGGTTTGATGTTTGAATAATTTTATATCATCTATATATTGTATTATAGTCTTTTTTTCTCAAAGGAAGGGATCTCAGCTACACTAATGATCACAATACTTGTTTTTTACTTCTACTAGTCAAATATTTTGAAACTACAATAATTAAAAAGCAGGGTAAGCAAATACTGTAATTATTAGTGTATTTCAGATCTCCTATGTGAAGAGAATGTAGATCTCTATATATAGAAAGACAAAGATATTAATTAAACATAGGAATATATTTTAATTAATTTTGGTAATCGAACTTTATGTAATATAGTTTATTTTGTTTACAGAGAATAAGATTCCAGCACCTGTAATTCCAAGTGAAATTGAAAGTGTGGACATAAATCTTTTAAATGGTCAGATACTTAGAGTAAAAGTATCGAGTGTGGAAAATGTGTCTAAATTTTACGTGCAACTTCCTTTCGCTACTGAATGTGAAAACTTGATCAATACATATATGACTGACAAAAATCCCAAGGTATGTTTCATACATACATATTTATAAATATTCGTAAATATTTAATTATTTTATTGTATAAATGTGTGTATATATAAACTATTTTTACAAATGTGATGTCTGAGATTTATAAGCATGTTTAACAAGCATTTTGTATTTGATGCATGAAACATATTGAATTCTAAATATTATTAAAAATCCAACCTATAAAATAGTAAATAATATTTAAATTTTAAATGTATATTTATATTATTAGCTGTATATTTGTTTATTTCAAAAACATTGTATATGAACTACAGGACATGACACTTAAACTAAAATTAACTGCTATACTATTAAAAATTGATGAATAATATTTATATCAACTACACATTAATCATGTTACAAATATACTGTTTGAGTATCATACTAATACTGTTGCATCTAATACACATATACAAATTTAATACTTAAATTTGTATTAATGATTAAATGTTTCATGTTACCAATATAAGTTCTATTAACATATCTATTTAGAAATATATTTGCTTTACTAATTGCTTGATATGTATACGAAATAATTTACACAAAATTATATCAAAGTGCATGAACTGTTAATTGTGAAAAAATAATTTAAATAATAGTCTTCCTAATCTTTATTATTCTATTCATAGAAAGTATTTTACATTTCATTGCACGATGTATGGTATTAATAACAATTAGTTAAATATATTTTCCTGAGCTATCCATTTTATTACCAAAATGTATTAAATGTAAGCAGTAGTTAATAATTCTTTCCCTTGTCAATTCAACTCAATAACTTTGTCAATTTAGTAAATTTAAACTGCTCCTTCATATAGTACATTATTTGTATTGTTCAGATATTTTTAATAATTTGTAGTAAAATGTTAGGTAATATTACATAAATTCCAATTGTAATGTTTTTTACTCGAACCTAGTTTATTATTAACTGACTTAAATGCGAAAATTACAGGTTTATTGTTTTTTGATTTTACTATTAATATTGCATGCTACTTATAACATGTAACAATGCGTATGTTACCTGAATGTATGTTACAAATTGATACAACAATTTGCAGTATTCGAATTCAATTTTAATATTTAAGAATGTTATTAATTACATTAACACGAAGACATTACTTAACATCAACATTATCTTAACGTCGTGCTGTTTTATACAAATTTAAAAATTCAATTTTTCGTTACAATAAGCAGGACAGTAAATATCGATTATTTTAATTTTTTTCGAAATTGAGATTCCTTATTGATGGATAGCAAAATTTAAGTGAATAATATTGGTAAGGATAAGTATGGCAATGACAGGTGATGCAACGATTATCAGTCCATGAGATATGCCTGGGCACAGGTTGTTTGGTTTATGCAAATGGAGTATGGAGGCGAGCAGTAATCCGTAACCATTCACGATCTGCTGGCTTTGATGTAAAATTCATTGATACTGGAGCATATGATGAAATTCTCTCAGATTGCGTGAGTTTTTTGAAAGAAAGAGATTAATCTACATGCTAAAACAATTTTTCGATAGATACTACAGCATTGTTGCTAGGCATAGGTGTTACTTAATACCATACTTGTCGCATTGAAAAGTATTAATGTAATGATATAATGTAAATTTTACTAAAGTATAAATATTTCGTAGAAACAAATATCATATAAAATAAGGAACTAATATCATATTGCTTTATATATTATTTTCGTTAAGCATAAAAATGCCTGATTAAATAGTAAAAGTAAGGCAGCGAATACTTTTATAATAAGAACACTTTAATATTTGCTTTTACGTTACTTTTGTTTATAATGTTTCCATGTATCACATATTGATATAGTATTCCTTTTATTCAGGTGTTAGCATTGCCAGGAGACCTGTCTGTTATGCAGAATCAGGCAGTAGAATGTTCTCTTATGAAAACTAAGTCTTCACCTGAAGTAGATACAACGTTCAAAAAGTGTGTTGAAGGAAAGGAAGTAATTATGTATATCGATGAAGTTGACAATAACAGGTAAGTTCTTAGTTTATATAATTTTGTATTATATATTAAAATTAAAATATAAACAATATTTTAAAACAATAAACTAATATACAATATAAAGATTTAAACAATTTTTTATTATCTAGATTTATTTTCATTATCATTAATTGTTGAAGTTTTATATAACACAGAAATCGAATATAAAATATATCCATATTTTTCCTATAATTTGTATTCTCTATAAACGTTTGGTTTTTATAGGCTCATTGTAAAGTTATTTGATTCATTGGGTAACAAAATTAATGTTACTGAAGATATTGAGGAAAGAATATCACCAATATGTCCAATGTCTATCTTAAGTTCTACTCATAAAGTGTTGGTATCATATGCGGATCACTCTACCAGCATCTGGTTACAACGTAATGCAGACTATGCTTTGGATAAAAATTTAATCGAAGCGCTTAATCAGTATTATCCTGCTTCTGGAAAATTAGTAGAACCTAAAGTAGATCTATTATGCGCTGCAAAAAGTGCTGATGGTAATTGGTATCGTGCTAAAGTCATAAATTATACAGAAACCGAAGTTTGTGTAAATTTCATTGATTATGGCAATAACGAGGAAGTTCCTCGTGATGTAATAATGACTTTGGATTCTTGCTTTTATACACCACATCAGCTAGCTATTAATGTGTCGTTACCGGTAACTCTTAAAGGTACAGTATCTGAACAACTAAACATACTGCAGGAATACTTGTCGAACAAAGTATTCACAGCTGTTTTCCGTAATGTAAACAAGAAGTGGATAGTAGAATTATTATATGATGGGGAAAAAATTAGTGAGAAATTACATGCTCTTAATTTACCATTGCAACAAGAAGTATCAGAAACAATACAACTTAGCATTCTTAATATGGAAATAGGTTATAAATATAATGTATATATATCGCATGTGGACTCTCCTAGTCAGTTCTGGCTTCAGTCTGTTAGAGATGCTAAAAGACTTAACGAGAAACAATCAGAGCTTCAAATACAAGCTTCTACATTTTCACAAGTAGATGGGATATTAGAAGAAGGAAGTTTGTGCGTTGCGATATATACAATTGATAATTTATGGTATAGAGCACAGGTACTCGATGCAGATGAGGATATAACGACTGTGCGATTTATTGATTACGGAAATACTGATGTTATTGATAATAAATCTGGAAATATTCGACATATTCCTGATTCATGGAAAGAAATTAAGGAGTTCGCGATTAAATGTAGACTAGATGTGATTCCTGTAGATTCAGAAGATTGGAATGCTATAACATGTGAAAAATTCGAAACTTTAGTAACATCTGTTGAATCTTTAGAAACACTGGTGATTGCTAATGGCATTACCACACGAGTAGATTTGTTAATAGATGGTCAGAGTGTTAGCGAAACATTGGTTAAAGAACATCTTGCTGTAATGATTCACACTGAAGATGATTTAATTGATGAAATAGTCGACCTAGAATTGGATCCTCACTCCGCTTTTGTAAGTCATGTTAACTCTCCAAGCGAATTCTGGGTGCAAGAAGAAAAGTCTGTTGGTGATTTAGAAGTCATGACTGACAGATTTATTGTAGCGCATATGTTCCCTAAAGTTGACAAAATTCAAGAAAATATGTTGTGTGTTGCTAAGTACCCAGAAGATGATTGCTGGTATAGAGCACGCGTTGTATCACATAATGATAATACTACACGGGTTATATACATTGACTATGGAAATTCAGCTACTACAACTGAAATACGAGCTATACCCGAAGACCTAATGAATGTACCACCATTATCAAGAAAGTGCCGTTTAGTTATGCCAGCAGGAATCACGGAATGGTCAGAACAGGCTTGCGAAGAATTTATAAAATTGGCTGCTGATGGAGCAACAATATTTTTATTGGATGTATTAAATGATGATGTGACATCATTGGTGAAGTTAACATTAATCAATGAAAATGTAACAGATCTGCTTGCTAAGTTTTGTCATCATCCACCAATCATAGAAGAAAGATTGCCTCCTTTAGGCGAAGAAAATTCACCAAATGTATTTATTACTCGTGTCAATTCATTAAATGAATTCTATGTTCAAGCTGAAAGTAAAACTACAGAATTGAATACAATGTTGAAAAGACTCCAAGCAGCTCCTAGTTTTCTTCCGTTAAATACAATTGAAGTTGGCACTATTTGTGCTGCAAAATTTCCAGATGATGGTAATTGGTATAGAGCTAAAATTCTTTCGCATTCTGGTGATTCTGTTACTGTTAATTACATTGATTATGGTAATACAGTGGTCACAAATGAAGTGCGAATGTTACCAGTAGATATTATAAATATACCTGCTTTATCCAAATGTTGTGCACTGCAGAAGCCGGAAACAATAAAGTCTTGGCCTCCAGAAGCTTATAAAAAACTTGAGGAACTTTCTGGTGAAGGAGAAACAATGTTTCAATTCGAAGTTCTTGATGACTCGTGTGATCCAATTTGTGTTAAATTGAGTCTCAATGGAAATAACGTCATTGATATCCTAGTTCCACATTCTGACAATACATCTTACGATGAAGTTGAAGTAAAAGAAAAGGCACATGCAAACGAGATATCAGAAAATCATGAAAGAAATGAAGCTTTAAATAATGATACAGTAGAAAGAAGTAAATGTGACACTGAACAAAATACAAGTAGTTGTACTATAAAATCAGATGAATCTTTAAATATACTTGAAGAACAAGATGAAAATACAAAGATACAGGACACTGGTAATTCACACTCTAATTCTGTTGTAGAACTTACTGTAGACGAAATAGTTCAGAATATGAAAAGAATTATCACAGATGAAGGAGAGGAAGAGGTAGAAACTTTTAACAACAGTAATACTGAATCACTTAATGATTATGATGTTACATCAGTAACAAAAAGTTTAGAGAACCTAGAAATGCAAGATCAATTACAGTCAGGTAATAGTAATAACGAAATATCAGAACTAGAAATTGATTTTAAAGTAAATGAAGATACAGACCATTCACATCAAAGTAGTAATTATTTTGAACAAGATATTTCATCAAGTGTAATAGATATTAATGTCATAAAAACTGATACTGAGAACCTTCAAAAAGAAAAAGATGATACAGAAAATGATAATAATCTTCAAAAGGAAAAAGACAATGCAAAAAATGATGGCATTCTTCAGAAAAAAGAAAACAATGACGGAAATGATAACGACCTTCAAAAAGAAATAGACACTGCAGAAAGTGATAATGATCTTCAAAGAAAGACAGACAATGCAGAAAATGATGGCGAT